AGAGGCCTCAGGAACAAAATGTAACCAATGGTTATCTGCTGCTGTGGGATGCAACAGGTGCATCTGGGATTGGTCTCATGTGGTTGTTTCTAATTAATGGCCAATCACAGTCCAGCTGGCTCGGACTCTCTGTCTGAGCCACAAACCTTGGTTACCATTCTTTCTTTATCTATTCTTAGCCAGCCTTCTGATGAAATCCTTCCTTCTATTCTTTTAGTATAGTTTCAATATAATATATATCATAAAATAATAAATCAAGCCTTCTGAAACATGGAGTCAGATCCTCATCTCTTCCCTCAGACTCCTGTGAACACGGTCACAGGGCCGAGCTGGGCAAGGAGGGGTGACATGGGAAACAACCTGCCCAGCACCTTCCTAATCCCCAGAGATGCTCCCACATGACAGGGCAAGGCAGCCCTGCTGCAGGGGGGTGTGTGGGGAGATGTCAAATCAGAGCTGCTCTCTTGGCTGTGGGAACCCATCTCAGCTCGGGGCCAGGGTGTGGATCAGCTCTTCTTGCCTCTTCCTGCCCCTGCTGGCCTCATTCCCTTCCCCAAACAAGGTTTTTGTGAGGATGCCCCAGCTGAGAGCTGGGGATGGCTGAGCTCAGCTCTGGGTGGAGATGTGGCGGTGGCAGTGCCACTGTCACTGTGCCAGGGCCTGTCCTGCCATGGTGTCATGGCTTTTGCAGAAGGAGGTGTCCCAGCTCTGGGGCTCTGCTTTGTTTCTCATTTCCACAAGGCTGGGAGCTGCCTGCTCTGCTCCCTGTGGCTGGGGAGGGTGGTCTGTGACACTGCCACCCCTGGGGCTCAGGATTGTCCCGGTGTGTGCCACAGGGGCTCAGAAAGGGCTCCATGGGGACCTGAACGTGGCTTTCCAGTATTTAAATGGTTAATCAAAAAGAGGGAAACCCACTTTTTATATGGGCAGATAGTGACAGGACAAGGGGGAATGGTTTTAAATAAAACAGGAGAGATTTAGATTGGATACAAGGAAAAAAATCCTTCCCTGTGAGGGTGGGAGGCCCTGGCACAGCTGGGGCTGCCCCTGGATCCCTGGCAGTGCCCAAGGCCAGGCTGGACATTGGGGCTGGGAGCAGCCTGGGACAGTGGGAGGTGTCCCTGCCCATGGCAGGGGGTGAATGTGATGCTCCTGAAGGTCCCTTCCAACCCAAACCATTTTGGTTTGACAGCAAAGCAGAATTCCCAGCTCTGCTCCAGGAGTTTTGGTGGGGTCTCCAGAGAGGAGCCCAGGATGTGCCTGGCAGGGGAACAAGGCACTGCTGCAGGGCTGGATGTGGATCCTGGTGCCCTGCTCTGGGCTGGAGTGAGGCTTCAGCCCTTCCTGAGCCCCCAGCACTGCTGTGTCTCCCCTTTCTCTGCCTCAGAGCATCCTTGGGAGGCCGGGAGCTTTCATCAGCCTGGCTCTGCCATGGGGCTCTTGGCCCTGAGGAGGAGCAGGAAGCACAAAGTCAGCTCCCAGCTTCAAAGGCAGGTGTTTAACTACAGAGGGTGACTTCTAGAGGCTCTGCTGAGATGATTTCCAGCATCTCCTGGGGAAGGCAGGTGGGGAAGGCTCTGCCCCAGAGCTGTGGAGGGGGAGCAGCCCCAGCCCAGCCCTGTGCCAAAGCAGAGCCCTGGATGCAGCAGGGCACATTTACACAAGGCAGCTGAAAGGACAGAGGCTTTCTGGAGAAGGGCCAGTGGCATTTAAGCAGCCCAAGAGCAGCACAGAGCAGCTCCAGGCACAGCAGGGCTTTGCCTGTCGGGGCAGAGCCGAGCAGTGGCCGCAGTGCCGGGATGCTGGGAAGTGTTTGGAGCTGTCCTTGGCTCTCTGAGGATTGTCCCTGCCAGGTGCAGGGGAGCCAGAGGAGGAGGGCAGGTAGGCAAAGCCTGGAAAATGCCCTGGGGGAGCTGCAGAGCCTGGTTTGTTTTGGCTCTGCTGCCTGCCCGGTGTTTGCAGGAGCCGGGGGTGCTCGGCAGAGGGGAGGATCCAGGGCAGCCAGGAGGAAGCTGCTGCTTGCACAGGTTTTCTTCCCCAGGTCTCAGGAGGCCTCTGGACCTGGAGGTGGGTGTGCCCCAAGGGTGCTTGGTTTGCTCCAGCTCCTGCCAGGCTCAGCTGATAAAGGACACTCAGAATGAATTTGGGACTTTAAATCTCATCTTGTTCCACCCCCTGCCATGGGCAGGGGCACCTTCCACTGTGCCAGGGTGCTCCAAGCCCATCCAGCCTGGCTCTGGATGCTTCCAGGGATCCAGGGGCAGCCACAGCTTCTCTGGAAATCTGTGCCAGCCCCTCCCAGTGAACAAATCTTTCCTAAAATCCCATCCATCCATACCCTCTGTCAGTTTAAACCCCTTTGCTGAGCACAGACCTTGGTGATGGCTCTGCCTTGCTCTGGCATCACAGATGGCACAGACTGGGGCCATCCCACCCCCCTGCAGGGATTTAAGCCCAGCAGAGCCCCTGTGCTGCATCCCAGCCTCTGCCATCCCTCTCCTGCTGCCTGCAGGGCTTTCCCTGCCCTTCCTCCTTGGCTGCTGGGACTTGCTGGGGAACACCTTTGGGAAGGGAGCAGGTCTGCAGCCCCAGGCACAAATCTCTGCTTTCAGCACTGGCTCTGTGCCTCTGGAGAGCCTTTGTTGGTGCCCAACGCCCATGCAGAGCCCGGGAGGAGCCGGGCCTGGATAAACCAAGCCCTGGAGGGGGGCCAGGTTTGGCTGCTTGTGCAAGAGCAGGAGGAGCTCCCAGTGCTGACTCCCTGTGAAACACAGGGGCATGGAGTGAGGGGGATAAGGGGGTGATGGCCCTTGGCCAGCTCCCCAAAGGCCTCTGCTCAGGGGGATGAGGACAGGACTGTGGGGTGGCCATGGAAAGGGGAGGGCTGCAGGGTCCCAGGCAGGAGGGGACAGTGGAGGAGCAGGAAGGGAATTGGGATTTGCTCAAGCTGGACTGGCTGGTGATGCCAGTGCCTGACGTCTGAGGGATTTGCACTTGGTCTAAAGACAGCAGCACTGGTGGGGAAGGTCCTGTGGGAGGGAGATTGGCCCAGAAGCACATTCCCACCTTGTTGGGGAAGATGAAACAGGAAAGCCTTATAAATATGATTGTCTGGCAAATGATTTAGAGAATATAGAAACTGTAAGCGAGATTGAAATGAAAGCAATCTTTGAGATCCCTCAGTTACTGAACAACTGGAAAACAATGGTGTGGCCAGCTGAAGGTAATCCCCTCTTGATGGAACAACACCCTCTGCCTGCAGACAGGCCCAAGGGTCAGAGCAGACCCTGCCAGCTTGGCAGAAGGGGCCCAAAGAGGAGTTTTTAGGGTTTAAAATGTAACACAGTGTGGTAATGTCATGATTCTTATAGGTTGTATGTAAATGCAATAGGATTTGTATCTTGTACTAGATTGGTTAGTGAGAATTAGAATATTCAACACAGAAGAAGATTTATTGTACTGGAATGAGAACCTCTCTCTCTTACCCTCTTACTCTCTTACCCTCTCATCCTCTCTCCCCCTCTCTTCTCTTGGGCCTGCTCTGAGCTGTGGCTGCAGCTCCCAGCAGGGCCCTGCCCCAGGCCCTTTGCAATAAACCCCAAATTCCAGACCTGGCTGCAGAGATCTCTGCTCTCCATCCATCCTGACCCTCCTGCCCCCGATGCTCCTACAGAGCTCATCCTGCTGCTCTGAGGGGACAGGGCAGGGGGGCTGCACTGCAGGGATGGAAGGGACCCAGGGTCAGACAGCAGCACCAGCTGTGGGGAATCCACCAGGGATGCTCCTGGGTTTTGTCTCTTCCCTCTGTGAGGCCTCTGGAGCCTCCTCTCCTCTGCCAAGCCTCAGCAGCTGCCCTGGCTTTGGGGGTGCCCCTCCCTGCTCATCTCCCCAGGCTGCTGCCTGGTGGGAGTGGGGTGGGTGCCTCCCATCCCTCCCTCCAAAAAGTGACGCCTCTGGCTCCAAGATTCTCCTGCTGGAGGTTCTGGGGGAGCTGCAGGGAGGGTTCATCCCATGGGCTGGCAGCACTGAGGAGGAGCACGGGGCAGCTGCCAAGGGCTCGGGGGCTCACTTGTGAGGGCTTGTTCATGGCACATATTCCTTGTCAGGGCTCAGGCTCAGAGCTTGGCTCCAATTTCCTGGGAAAAATGCAGTGGAAAGGGGCTTCTATTCTTATTTTTCTTTTTTTTTGTTTTTTTTCCCTATTCTTATTTTTCTTTTACTGGTTGCTGGAGGTCTGGGGATGGGAGCACATCAGGAAGTTTGGGGATGGGAGCACATTTCCCCATGGGGGTCCTGGGGAAATGCTCAGGGGGGTAAAAAGTATTTGGCTGGACGTTTGTGCCAAGGCACCTTGAGCTGCAGTTTATTGAGTCCAAGGCCACCTAATCTTGCATTTTAATAGTCTTAGGCAAGGCTCTCCTGCCGTGGGACCAGGGAGCTTTAATGAACAGGCTGCTTTTTTACAGTACAAGTTGAAAAGAGGTGAGTCCCTTGAGGAGTCTTTGTCCCAGGACACGGGTCACCCTCCAAAGGGAGGGCAGACTGCAGTGGGACCTGCTGTGCAAAATGGTAACAGAAGAGTCTCTTAAATAACCAGAAGAAAACACGATCATGGGCGATCCCTCCTTTTCCAGCAGCATTCTGGGATGAGGAGCTGGCTGGCTTTTGCCAGCTGATCCCACAGACTTCTGGGTTCCAGTGATGCTTTCCAGCTTTTAACGAGGCTGGAGGTCACCCCAGCCTGGAAGAGACCTCTTTAAAGGCTGTGCCATCCAAGATTGTCCCCAGCACTACTGCCAGCTGCCAGGGTGGATGCTGTGCACCCCTTCCAAGCCCCATCTCTGGAGCTCTGCCCTGGCCAGGGATGCTTTTGGGCTGTCCATCGTGGCCACGTGGTGCTGGTAAATGTAAACAAGACAAAGAAAACAAACCCCTGCCCCAAGGAAGGCGGTGGTGGCGCCTGGGCTCCACCAGTTCTGCGGGGCCACCCTCACCAGCCCCTACTGCTCCTTCTGCCCCGTGGGCTCGGGGGGTGCCTTCTTGGAGTCCACACAAGCACCCTGAGCCCCTGCAACCCTGTTCTTGAGGTGCTTGGTCTGGGAGAGCTTGGAGAGCGGGATGCCCAGGGGTGTCCTCATCTCCTCGGGTGCCCTCTGGCTCTCTTGGGGCAGGGGGCTGAAGCGCTGGCCCGGCGCTCTGCCCGTGCTCGGGGCCACGGGCCCGGGTGCTGTGGCCTTGCTGGGGCTCAAGGCTTTGCTCTGCCAGTAGGGCTGGCTGCCTGCAATGGTCTTTTTGGGTTCTGCCCCCTCCCCTGCGTGCTTGGAGGCCCTGAGGGGTTTCTCGTGCGTTGGGGAGCAGGAGAGCTCCTTGCCCGGCTCCCTGCCCGCCCTCCTGGGCCGGTAGCGTGGGTAGATGTGGGTGCCCTGTGGGGGAGAGAGCAGAGACACAGTGAGCTCGGGCTGGAGGAAGGGTGCTGCTCCCTGCAAGGACACCTCTGCACCTGGGCCAGCTGAAAATCCCTCTTTCCCTCGCCCAAAAACAGGGGCAGCTCGGAACTGTTGGGGAGGATGAGACAGGAAAGCCTTATAAATATGATTGTCTGGCAAAAGGTTTTGAGAATATGGAAACTATAAGTGAGATTGAAATGAAAGCAAGCTCTGAGATCCCTTAGTTACTGAACAACTGGGAAACAATGGTGTGGCCGGCTGAAGGTGATTCCCTTGTGATGGAACAACACCCTCTGCTTGCAGACAGGCCCAAGGGGCAGAGCAGACCCTGCCAGCTTGGCAGAAGGGGCCCAAAGAGGAGTTTATAGGGTTTAAAATGTAACACAGTGTGGTAATGTCATGATTCTTATAGGCCGTATGTAAATGCTGTAGGATTTGTATATTGTACTAGAATGGTAATTGAGAATTAGAATATTCAACACAGAAGAAGATTTATCGTATTGGAATGGGAACCCCTCTCTTTTACCCTTTTATGCTCTTACTTTTTTTACTCCTTTATCCTCTTACCCTCTTACTCTCTCATCCTCTCTTCCCCTCTCTTCTCTCAGGCCTGCTCTGAGCTGTGGCTGCAGCTCCCAGCAGGGCCCTGCGCTTGGCCCTTTGCAATAAACCCAAGTTCCAGACCTGGCTGCAGAGATCTCTGCTCTCCATCCATCCTGACCCTCCTGCTCCCGACACTCCTACAGGAACAGCCTCCAATATTAACCCAGGCTGCTCGTCTGGTACCAAACACTGACACTCCCCAAGCAGCCCTGGCAGTCTGGAGGCTGCCCCGAGCCAAGTCCCTCCTGCCTGGAAATCCAGGACAAGGCCTCTCAACACTGAACACCCACGTGAATCATCCCAGCCTCACGTCAGCCCCGAGAGCATTCAGTCACCCAGAGCCATCCTGTGGCACCAGGTGACTGCCAGGAGCAGATGAAAGGATGGAGGGAGGGCTGGGAGAGGAGACAGCAGAGAGCTGCAACAGCACTGTGGGGGTGGCTCTCTCAGCTGGGTTGAGACACACGCTTGGCTCGGGTCTGAGCACCATTAATCCTAATTCTAGACTGGGTAAGGCTGTCACACACGGCTGTGGCCACCAGATGTTTATCTCCCCTTTGGGTGTGCCCGTGCCATGATCTGGAGGTGTGATTGCACCTGTGCAGAGGTACCAGGGGAGGTGAGATCTGGTGAGATCTGGTGAGCCAAGGTGCAGGTGGCAGGAGGAGCTGGGGCCAGCAGGCTGCAGAGCTGGCTGTGCCAACCTGCCCTGCCTCTGCAGCGACCCTCACTGTGCTACTGCTGTGGCCCAAAGGCCTCCCTGGTCCTGGAGCTGACACCTCCTCCTTTGGTCAGGAGAGTTGTGTTAAAGCAGTTTAGCTTAGGTAGTCCGAGATTGATTTAATTAGGTGCTTAAAATCAGTGCTAAGGTCTGAGATGGCTTCAGGTGAGAGGGATTAAGGGTGATTTAGCTTTTCTCCCTCTGAGCTCATCATGTGCCTGAGCTGGGTGGTGGCTCCTGACATGCTCTGGCTCTTGGGAAGGAGTTAAACCATGGCTTAAACCAAGTATCCCACGCCAGGAACCTGCACCCTGTCCCTCCTGCCCACCAGCAGAATGAGGCAGTGCTTGCCCAGGAGAGCCTGAATCCTGCTGGGTGCTGAGCACTCCTCTGGAAGCCTTTGGAGAGACTCTGAGCTCTGTGAAATCAGCAATTCCTGCAGATGTTGCCTGTTTAGGAGGGGTGGCTGTGTTGTGGATGGACACGGCTTGGCCAGAGCTTTGAGGTGTGATGGTTTGAGTGGAGCTGTGGGAGGAGGAGGAGGCTGGACTCGGTTTCCATGTCATTGTGGGCACTCTTTGGGAAGGAGATTGGCTAGAAGGGGCAGGAGGGGTGGGATGGTGGTGGGGCATGGTGGTTCCTGGCTGCAGGATGTGCTGCTGTGGTTGCACTGGGCTTTTTTTGGTGCTATGCTGTAACCCCAACCCGTTACTGGTCTGGAGAGAAACCCCACTGTGGGCTGGGTGAACTTCTACACTGCATTTGGGCCCCATGCCCAGTGGCTCCAGCGTTTGGGATGCAGTTTGGCAAGGAAGAGGCTGATGTGGAGTAGATGTTGGTGCTGCTCAGCTCTCCACAGCTCATTGTCCAGTGGTCACTCTCTGCTAAAAACCTGAGCCACACCAAGGCTCCATCCTGGCCAGACCTGAAGATGCTGCTGCCCCTGTTCCTCATCATCTGCCAGGGATGGTCAGCAGGGTCCTGTGCCCAGGTGAGGGCCCCCATGTGGCTGTGGAGCTGCTGGGGTGGGGATTTTCCCTGTCACTGAGGGGAAAGCTCTGCTCTGCACAGACCTGGGGGCTCTGCAGGTGGGAGAGGGGCAGGACAGGACCCAGGTGTCCCTGTCCCTCCTCCTCCTCCTCCTTGAGGCTGCTGTGCATCCAGCTGAATGGGGTTGTGTATTTAGGGAAGGTGATTTCCAGAGAGAATTTGGTTTCCATGACATGGAGAACATGATGTTTGCCCTGAGTGAGCCTCCACCTGTGTTTTGGGCTATGCTGGGCAATGGGCCAGCACCTACGAAATGTGGACCCAGGGAAAAAAAAAATGTATTTGGGAGAATTGGTAGTGATTTCTGTCAAATTTGACTTTTCAACAGTTAATCAAGGGTTACTTCAATTTATTCTTTTTACACATGGGAGAAACTCTTCCCTGCACCTCTCCACTGCTTGCTGGCTTTCCTAACCCTGATGCTGTGCTAATTATCTGCCTCTCATCAAAGGGCCAGAACAAGTTACTGCAGGAACACCAGCGTGCCCAGCCGTCCCCAGCGAGGTGGCACCTGGGACCTGGGTCACAGAGCATCAAAGAGCTCGGAGCTCCTTGCCCTGCAGGGCTCAGGGGTATTTGATGTGCGAGGATTAAAGCTCTGAGCTCCCTGTCGCTGGCTGGGAAGGGAGAAGCAAGTGGACTCTGGGATGGTACATTTAATTCCCTGTAAATAGAGATTAGATGCTCAGCTGGGGTAACCTCAGGCAGTTTCAGTGATTTCAGCTGCTGGTTTAGCCCTGGGGGTTTGAATGCCCCAAAAACAGCGGGTGGGGAGCCGTGAGAAGCTGGAATGCTTGGCAGGGGTGCAGGAGGTTGCAGAGCTTGGATGGAAATCAGGGGACGGCAGTGTCATCACCCCTGGGCGGGACAATGCTGTGGTGGGGATGCTGCTGTGACCTCCTGGCAGCTCTGGCCTGCTCCCCAGGGAATTGCAGCAGGGTGCTGGCCCTGCGTGGTGACAGGGCCTGGCGTCACTCGTGGCTCAGCCACAAAGCTGCTGACTGTGGCACTCACCCGCAGAGGCTGCTGTCCCTGTTTCTCTGCTGCTAATTACCTGTCCGAGCGCTTTCCCTTTGATGCTAATCACCCTGGCAAGGCCTGGAAAACAAGCCTGAGAAGGACACGCCTGCATGCACAGTCTGTCCCCAGCTGGGTGTGATGGGCTGTGGATGGAGCTCAGAGCCCCAGCACATCTGTGCAGCTGTGCCTGGAGCTCCAGCCCCAGCCCAGAGCTGTGGGGATCATCTTTAATTACCAAAACCCTTCCCTTTAACAGCCATCCCCACTGCTGGACACTGAGAGCTGTGGCACAGCCACTGCATCTTTGTCACCTCTCAGGTGACCATAGCCACATGCAGGGTGTTATTCTCTATGGGAATCTCATCTCAGCATCTAGGACAGCACCAAAGGTTGGGATGACAGCAAAACTCAGGGTGACATCACACCTTGCTTGAGCTGACTGGGTCACCCCCAGGTTTGCAAACCTTTGTAGGGTGGAGAAACAAAGGGTTACAGCAGGAAGTCCTACCTGGGCAGCACTGCTGGGGTAGGAGCTGTTTCCATCCAGGATGGCACAGGGCAGCATGGGCCTGATCTCCACGGCCGTGCTCCTCCTCTTGGTCATGTCCAGGTGCTTCAGGGAGGGGAGGCTGCCCAGGGGGCTGATGAAGGTGCCCCTGCTGATGTGGGGGTCACTGAGCTTCCTCTGCATGGGCAGGATCTCCCCGTTGTGGGTGACGTCCGAGTTGGTTCTGCGCAGGGGCCCGTAGCGATCCCTGACCTCGAAGTACTCGTCGGAGATGGAGGAGGCGTTGGAGCGGCGGTAGCTGTGGTCAGCAGAGCTGCTGGAGTAGCTCTCCTGGTCACTGAGGGTGAGGAACTCCTCTTCCTCCTCCTCCTCCTCTTCTCCCAGCCCGTTGTGGGCGCAGGGAGGCCCTTTGCCCTCCTGTGGAGCTGCTGCTGGCTGGGCACGGCAGCTCTCCCTGGCAGCCCGGCTGGGCTTCTCCTCCCGCTCCTGCTTCACAGCCGTGTGCTCAGCCAGGGCTGGCTGCGTGTCACCCTGCAGGGCAGCGCTGCTGTCACAGGCTGTGGTGACTCTGGTCATGATGACACCGACAGGGACGGTCCTTGGCCTTGGAACTGGAGGCTTCACATCCTCCAGTGCCTCCTCCTGTGGCTTCAAATGGTGGCCCAGAGGTGAAGAGGCAAATGTCCCCACTTGCCTCGTTGTCCAGCTGACACCCTCGATGGGGGTGCTCGTGGGGGCTGCAGGAGCTTCCATGGGGAGCTGTGGGATCTGTCTGTGGCTGGGGGACAGCAGAGGCAGCTCCTGCTCTGAGTTCTTCCTGGCCTCCATCTCCCTGTTCTTCAGCATCTGCCGGTGCTGGGCGCTGGCCTGGGACACGTCGCAGACTTTGATGCGGTTCATCTGCGACAGCTTCACGTTCTTCACCTTGGGGTCGATGATGTTGATGTAGCCCAAGACCTCGCTGCCAGGCTCGGGGTCGGGCTCCACCCAGGTGGGCAGGTAGTCAAACATGTTGGCTTTCTCCAGGTTCAGGAGGCCGGGGTGGATGAGCGGGGAGAGCTCAGCCACGTCCCCGTGCCGCTCGCCCCCCTGGCCCTCGGGAGGTGCTTTGCCTTTGTTGTCACTCTTCTGGTTTTTGTCCTGGTTCTCAGATGAGGTTTTGCTGATCTGGTCGGCGCTCTTGGCCTTCACCAGGGCGTATTTGGGGTTTATCAGCTTCTTCACCACGGCGTTGGCGGGGGTCACGGGCACCACGGAGGGCAGTGTCACAGGCTCGGGCTCGGGCTCTTCGCCCATGGAGATGGACTTGAGGCTCACCCCCTTGGACATGAGGTAGAGCTCCTGGAACTGCTTGTCAAAGGCCTCCACCACCTGGCCCGACAGGACTGTGATGACATTCCGGTCCGTCCTCGCCGCAGACCAGGTGAAGCTGGAACAGAAACACATTGGAGACTCTCAGCTGGTAAATAACACCTCTCCCCAGGCCTGGCCTTCTCCAGGGACTGATGGTGCCAACAGGGACATGATCTCACTGTGAACATAATAATGGGATTGACAAAATAGCTCCCATCCCAAATTAGAGTGAAGGGTTGAAGTCCTGAGCACAGTGGGACTTGAAGTAAAAAGAAAAGGAATTTGCAGGGGGTCAGTGCCTTAGTGTTGGCCGCTTTTCCTGTCTCGGTTTGGGTTAAGAGAAGTGACTCGTAAGTGCATGTGTGAAAGTGGATGTATTATTTGTTATGGCCAGAAAAGAGGAAATGTTCCAGCTCCATATTTATAAAATTTGTCTTTTAGACCTGAAACCTGACCAGGGCTGGTCGCTTTCTACCTAAGTAAGTTTTCCTTTGAACAAACTGAAAAATACTTTGTGTAGGAAATTGGAAAGCTGAGCTTGGTGTGAGAGCTGGGACAGGCTGTGCTTTGGTGCTCTGCTCCTTCCTTGTGCTCATCAGCACAGAAACACTCGGTGTGTCCCACCACCTCCAAGAAGGGTGGGTGTCCTAGACCTGGTGGTGTAGGGAGTAGTGGGAGCCCCTTAGGACCCACTCCCAATGGAAAATCTCCTCCCAGTTTAGGATGAGGAGAGCAAATCTGGCTTGGGCTCCAGGAGCCTTGGACCACGAGGGTTGACGTTGATCCTTTCACCAACACCTCAGTGGGGTGGGCAAGAGGAGACATCTCTGGTGTACCTGTAGGAGCCACACATGGCTCGATCCCCGTCCACGAACATGAACTTCTGGGCCAAAGCCCCCTTGAACTTGGTGGCCGAGCGGGTGAAGAACTCGGTGCCCCCGGTGCTGCGGACGCGCAGGTTCTGCAGGGCAGAGGCAGAGAGGTGGGCAGGGGGGAAGAGCTGCTGTGGCACCACCACCCACCCTCCAGGGAGAGCATCACTCACCCCTCCAGGGACAGCATCACTCACCCCTCCAGGGACAGCATCACCCACCCCTCCAGGGACAGCATCACCCACCCCTCCATGGACAGCATCACCCACCCCTCCAGGGACAGCGTCACCCACCCTCCATGGACAGCATCACCCACCCCTCCAGGGACAGCATCACCCACCCTCCATGGACAGCATCACCCACCCTCCATGGACAGGATCACCCACCCTCCAGGGACCCCATCACCCACCCCTCCAGGGACAGCATCACCCACCCCTCCAGGGACAGCATCACCCACCCCTCCATGGACAGCATCACCCACCCCTCCAGGGACAGCATCACCCACCCCTCCATGGACAGCACCACCCACCCCTCCAGGGACAGCATCACCCACCCCTCCAAGGACAGCACCACCCACTGTCACAGACATCTTTTATGGAAAATCCTTTCCTTAGGATTTTTCCTCCTGAGAAGCTGAGAGGCCTCAGGAACAAAATGCAAACAATGGTTATCTGCTGCTGTGGAATGCAACAGGTGCATCTGGGATTGGGCTCATATGGTTGTTTCTAATTAATGGCCAATCACAGTCCAGCTGGCTCGGACAGAGAGTCTGAGCCACAAACCTTTGTTATCATTCCTTCCTATTCTATTCTTAGCTGGCCTTCTGATGAAATCCTTTGTTCTATTCTTTTAGTATAGTTTTAATGTAATATATATCATAAAATAATAAATCAGCCTTCTGAAACATGGAGTCAGATCCTCATCTCTTCCCTGATCCAAGAACCTCTGTGAACACGGTCACCACCCACCCCTCCAAGGACATCACCACCCACCCTCTAGGAACGCCCCTCTGGATGCTCCACAGCCCCTCTGAGGAGGGAGAATGTTCCTCATGGCCAGCTCAGAGGAGGCCACAGCGATGAGGAGATGAAATAACTCGCCCAAGGCCACCACGGGCTGGGCTTGGGGAGTTTCCTGCCTTGCCCATGTGCTGCCAGGCTGTGTTTGGCATCTCTTGAACTCGGTGTCTGTGGGCGAGGGCTGTGTGGTGCTGCTGCAATCTATGCAAATGCCACCATGGGAGAGGAGGCTGCTCACCTGCTCCCAGCAGATCTGCAGGGGGTTTCAGGGGGAGGTGGGGACCCCAGAACATCCCACGGGGTGTTTTGTCCTTCCCCACGCTCACCCTTTGCTCTGCTCCTAAATTTGGCCGTCTACCCCTGGTTTTAGGGGCTGGTGGGAAACCAGGCAGTGGGGAAACATCTTTTCACCCTCGGGAAATGAAACCTGGTGATGTGGGAGCAGGTCCCTGGAGTGGAGCTGGGTGTCCTCCCCAGGGAACCCAGTGACGCAGGGGCAGCCCTGGCTCTGTGAAAATCTTTTTGCTCTTTTTTTATCCCCAGGCTGGCTCCTGTCTCTGGCCTCTCCGTGGAGGGCACTGGCACATTCCTCAGCAGAGCAGATAGCATCTCCCACAGCAAAGGGGCTCCCTTTGGGTGGGGAGAAAATATTTTCTTGAGAAAGCGCCTGCATTCCTCCTGTTCCTGCCGGGATGTTGGTAAGGCTGTTGCAAAAGGCTCTGTGTCATCACTGGGTCATGCCCTCCATGGCTGTTTCATTGTCTGTTTTGTTTTGTTTTTTAAAGAAAAGCATCGAAAATATTTGTCTTCCCCTCCTCCAGCCTTTCCCATCTGCTTCCCAGGGCTCTCCTCTGTCCCTGGAGGCCATGACCAGGCACAGGCCCAAGCCCAGGTACACCCCTGGTCCCTGCTCCCCCATCCCTGGCAGGAAAATTCAGTGCAGCTGATGTGTAAGCCACAGCTTTCCTGACTGTGTTTCCAGGGAAGTTCCACTCACTGAACAGAGAAGGTCTGGGAGGGAATTTTTTTGCGAATTTCATGTTTTTCTTAGCAAAAATGCTAAGAAAATGCTTTTTGCCTGCTGTGGCTGGGGCGAAACCGGTGCTGAGCATCCTAATTTCTGCCAGTGTGCTGCACTGAGAGGGCTGGGATGGCAATTGTCACCTCTGTCCCTTATTTTCCCTACACATGGGGCTGCTGAGAGAGCAGCGACACCCAAGGCTTCACCCCCTGCCCACCACCCACCCAGAGCTGCCCCTTTGCCCAAACCCCAGGAGCAGCTCTGGGTGTTTTCCAGGCAACAACTCTCCTGCTGCTGATCCCTCTCCCTCTTCCTATCAGTGCTGTTGAGTAAAATCTGCTCCCCTAATCCCTGCTGAGGCAGGGGTGAATCACCCAGCTCTTGCTCAAGCCGGTTGCTAATTGCCACCGAGATAACGAGGGGACGTTTCGTTAACATCTCCTGCCTTGAGAAGCAGCTCCCAGACTCTGCCCTACTTTCCCTCACCTCCTCCTGCACCCCGTGCCAGCCAGCTGGCTGCAATATGTGGCAAATCCCAACTTCCAGACATTTGCCGAGCTCTGCAGGTGTTCTCCTGCTTTTCCAGTCCTGCCACCGGGGCTGCTAATGCAGGAAAACACCGGCGTGCGTCAGCGCTGGCTTTTCTGGTCTTGGAGCAGCAGCAGCCTGCGGGATCCCAGGCTCCCCAGGGAGCTTGGGCTCGGGTGAAAGCTGGGCTGTGTTTGCTGTAATTGTTGGCAGCAGGCACTGGGGAGGGAGGCTGTGCGGTTTTGGGGGTCCCTGAGCCCCATTCCCCCCCTTGTGCCAGCCAGGTGTGAGGGTGCCGTGGCTCCTGCGTGTTCCTGCTCCGCCAGGGCCTGGCCCTCACCCACCCTAAGCAAATCTGGGGAGCTTGCCCGGGCACGGGCCCTCCTGGAGGGCATTTGGCAGCGGGCACGCTGACGTCAGGAGCAGCAACACCACTGCTGTGCCAAGCCACAGGCCAGGCTGGGCCAGGAGCCCCCACAGTGGGGCTGTGGGGCTGCTCTGGAGTGATTGCATCCCATGCTGGTGATGGGGGCGCAGCCTGGGACTGTCCTGTGGTCCCTGCTCTGGCTGCTGCTGAGGCTGGAACAACCCTCTGTCCTCTCCTCTGCCCCTTCTTCTGCCTTTGCCCTGTGACCAGGTGATTTTCTCTGCACCCCCTGCTCGCACAGGGGTGTGGAAGGGGAAGCCCAGAATCTCACTTGGGAAGCCCAGAATCTCACTTGGAATGAGATTTAAGGGGCCTTAAATCTCATTCCAACCCCCTGCCACGAGCAGGGACACCTTAAACTAGACCAGGTTGCTCCAAGCCCCATCCAAGCCACCCCTGCACTGGTGAGTACCAGCAGCCCCCTGGGCTTTCTGCTCCAGCTTTGCTGGGTGTAAATCCACATCCCAATCTCTCACCCACCTCTCCAAGCTGCTCCTGAATTTGGGCATCACCTCCAGCTTTGGCTACAGCAAAAAATGAACTAAACTCTCCACAACTGGGGGTTGTGATTGCCCAAGACAGGAGGGAGCAGAGCTTAAAATTCTGATTTTCTCCTGCATTTGGAGGAGGCTCCCCAGCTCCAGGTCAGCCCTACCTTCAGGTGTCCAGCGTGCATGTGGGCTCGCTCACACATCTGCAGGAAGTGCTTCACGTTGGTCTCATCCAGGATGATGTAGACTCCCACTTTCCTCTTGAAGCCAGCGTCCAGGAGGTCCTTGAAGATGTCCACGTCAGTGAACATGTCCATGACCACAGCAATGACCTGCAGAGGGGACAGGGGACACGAGGCTGGGTGGCCAGGGACAACCCAAGGTACAGTCAGAGCTTGGTTTTGTGAGAGGCAAAGTGCTCCCTGTAGGAGGCTGGAATTTGGGCTGGAATTTGGGCTGGGGGAGCCCAGGATTGCCCCCAGTCTGAGGATGGAAAGTCCTCCCATTCCTCTGCTGTCACTGTGGAAAGTTTGATCTCCAAGAGAGGTAGATGTGGCACCTGGGGACATGGTTTAGTGGTGGCCCTGGCAGTGCTGAGTTAATTGTTGGACTTGATGGTCTTTGGATGTTTTTTTTTCAACCCTGACCATTTCAGTGGTGATGCAAAGCATAATCTATTGATGAAAAGCCAGTTGCTGAGGGTGAATCTAACTTTCCTGCCTTTAAAGGCTTCACAGAATTCAGAGTCCAGTTTGTGGCTGAGAAGTTTGGTGACCCTTTGCTGTCAGCATTGCAGGGAGCATCAGAAGGGGAAGCCCTTGATGCACAATGATCACAGAATTGCTAAGGTTGATAAAGACCTGCAGGATCATCAAACCCAGCCACTGAGTGGTGTGTCCATCTGTCCTGGCCTCACTGCCCAGCCTGGGCTGCTGCTCCTCCTGCACAGCATCCCTGCTTCCTCCCAGGCTGTGTGGAAGGAGCAGAGCCAGGACAGCAGTGCCAGCACCTGTGGTCACAGGGGTTTTCAGGTGAAGGAAGAGACGAGAATGTTGACTCCATGTTCAGAAGGCTCGATTTATTATTTTATGAGATATATATTACATTATAACTGTACTAAAAAGAAAAATAAAAGGTTTCCTCAGATGCTAACTAAGCTAAGAATAGAAAAGAAAAGAATGATGACAAAGGCAGCTCAGTCCTTGATTGGCCATGAATTATAAACATCCAAGAGGGGCCAATCCCAGGTGGACCTGTTGCATTCCACAGCAGCAGATAACCATTGCCTACATTCTGTCTCTGAGGCCTCTCAGCTTCTCAGAAGGAAAAATCTTAAAGAAAGGATTTTTAGTGAAAAGATGTCCGTGACAAGCACCCCGAGCAGTGACAGCTGTGTTTGTCACATGGCAGTGTCACTGATACCCACAGGCTGCACCCAGGGCGTTTGCTGCTGTGCCAGCCACAGCTGGGGCTGACAGGAAAATGGATCTGGGCCATGCTGGGAATGTCACTGGGGTGTCTGCATGTGCTGGGAATGTCACTGGGGTGTCTGCCTGTGCTGGGAATGTCACTGGGATGTCTGCCTGTGCCCATGGCTGCTGATTTCCTGCTGATGGCATCACCTGTGGCAGTGAGCAGCAGCTCATGGCAGGCAGAGGGGCTGGAGGCAGTCCCAGGGCAGCTCCACAGGGATTTCTGCCTCCCCTCAGCCCAGGGGAAAGGCATCAGGGAGCTGGTTTGTCCTTGTGCCGTGGCTGGAGTTCCTCCCATGCCCGTGGCTGTTCCTGGAAGGTGCCCTGGGCTGGGCCAGGTGGGTGCTCTTGCCCTTCCCTGCTGGCCATGGCACGTGGCTGAGCCAGGGGGACACCAGGGAGACCCCAGGCTGCTCCTCCCTCCCTCCCTCCCTCCCTCCCTCAGGAAGGGGCTGGGATGGTGCTGGGTGCCTGCACACTCAGACACCTCCAGCCCAGAGCTCTCAAAGCACCCTGAGCTGCCTTTTAATTAGCTCTGTGCCACAGGACGTGGAGAGCTTTAATTAAGCAGAGGATTGTTATGACACTGCTGGCTCTTCCCTTCCTTTTCTGCAGGCCATGGGGGGAAGAGCAAGGCAGTGTGGGGAGCCCCAGCCCTGCTGTCCCTGCTGCCACCCTGGTGTCCCCAGCCCTGACCACACAGCAGCGTTTTGGGAGGTGCCACGGAGCCAGGTGAGGGGGCACTTCATGGCTTTGCCACTCGATTTTAACCGAATTCCCATTTTTCCTTGGCCCAGAGCCTCCCCCCAGGCTTTGTGAAAGGCTGAACCCTCACTCCCCTGTGCACCCACTCGTGTGCTTTGCTCATCCTTGTCCTGGCGGGGAAACCGAGGCAGGAACCAACTGCTGGATTTGCATGGATGCGAAGTGGGACGGGTTCAAAGCTACTCTGGGAGCTCTGGGCTCGCATTTGCCACGTTCAGCAAAAAACTGGGGAGGAGCTGAGCTGTGTTCCATGAGTCCTGGGCAAGGGACACCTTGGTGGGACAGTGTGGGTTTGGTGGCAGAGGGTTTGGTGGCAGAGGGTTTGGTGGCAGAGGGTTTGCTTCCGACCCTGATTCTCCATGCCCATGCCACTTCTCCTGTGTGCTGTGTTTTCTCCAGGAAAAGTTGAGCACTTGTGAAACGGGCATGAGGACAGCGCTGACATTCATTTTGAGGGACAAGAACGTTTTCCCCCCGTGGTCCCAGCAGTGCTGAGGCCTTGGCTCTCTGCTCGAGGGCGTGAGGGAGTTTCTCAGGGCTGTGGGCAGGGCACTGTGCCCCGTGCCCAGCCCTGCTCACAGACTGCAGGCAGTGCCCAGGGTGCCCAGCTCTCAGCCACCTGCCCACGTTTGAACCCAATGCCTCCTGCCCAGCTGGTGCCTCCTGTCACTGCTCAGCTCCTGCTTCCCTCCCTGCTGTGTCTTGCCTGCAGGACAGGCTTGGCCCTGGTTTGTCACCAGGATCTCACTCCAATGTGCCAACACTGCCCTGGCACGGGATGGGCGGGAGAGCGAGGATGAGGCAGCTCCTCATGGGGGGACTGTGCCTGCCTGGGTGACATCTCCTGCTAGGATCTGTCCCTGCCTGGGTGAATTCTCCTGCTGGGATCTGTCCCTGTCTGGGTGAATTCTCCTGCTGGGATCTGTCCCTGCCTGGGTGAATTCTCCTGCTGGGATCTGTCCCTGTCTGGGTGAATTCTCCTGTTGGGATCTGTCCCTGTCTGGGTGAATTCTCCTGCTGGGATCTGTCCCTGTCTGGGTGAATTCTGCTGCTGGGATCTGTCCCTGTCTGGGTGAATTCTCCTGCTGGGCTGCCTGGGCTTGAACCCTGGGGTGCCAAACCCTGGCCCAGGGATCCTCTGCCAAGAGTGGAGGCCTGTCTGCTCTGCAGCAGTGCAATCCTGCCTGCTCTTTGCTCCCCAGCTTGGGGAATGGGGTTGCCTGCAGCAAGCTGTGCCACCTGGCTGTGAGGAGCCAGCCTGTCCCTTGTCCCTGTCACCTCTGCCAGGGCACTGCTTGGTGCTGGACATTCCCTTTGCTGGAGCCCTTTTGCAGCTGTGTCATCCCAGGAAACTTCACCATCCTTTTGCCATTCTCTGGGAGGGTACAGAGGAAATCAGCCCTAAATCTGCAGCTGGAGGCTCCCAGTGCCCATGGAGGTGAAGCTTTTCTTGCCAGGGTCCCAGGAGCTGCCAGAATCCATGGGGTACAGCAGCTGTGCAGGAGCTGGGTCCCAGATCCCTGTATCCCCTTTGTTGGACACTGGGAAATGCTGTTGGGATTTTTTGGAACAGCTTTGATGAGCACCTAAACTGCAGGATCATGTTTTATAGAGGAAGTTGCAGCTCTTTATTGTCTCACTGTGAATCATCAGATAATGACTTCTGGGGTGCACCACGTGGGCATTCAATAAATTAGGCAGGCACCAAGGCACAATTAGAGGAAGAGTGTTGGGATGGAGGAGAGGTGGGACAAGTAACATTAATAATTGCTCTCCCCTGTCGACCCTTTCATCCAGGAACAGCAGAAGGTTTTGTAAACAGTAATTAATAGGGCCTCCCAACCTTCTCTGGAAGTTGCTCAGGGTAATTACATCACCACAATCCCAACCTGGAACCTCAAGTGAAGACAGGAGGGCAGAGTCACTGCTCTCTCCCCTGGCTCTGGGCCAAGGTCAATGTTTGCATGCTCTGGTTTCTGGTCAGAGAGAGCCAAGATAGGAGGAGGAGGAGGAGGAGGAAGATCTTCCTCCCTTCCACCATAGAATCATTAAGGTTGGAAAAGACATTCAGGATGGTCAACTCCTTGGACCCATCACCACTTGTCACCAGCCCTGAGCACTGAGTGCCACATCCACAGATTCCTTGGACACCTCCAGGATGGACTCCAAACCTCTCTGGGTAGCCCCTTCCCGTGCCTGCCCACCCTTCCCATGAAGAAATTGTTCCTGATGTCCAACCTGAGAGCTCTGCAGCCTGAGGGATCCTCAGCAAGGAGGAGACAGCCGTGCCATGCTCAGCCTGGTGAAGGTCTCTGGGGTGAACCCCTCACCAGCTCTGCTTGCTGGCCACAAAGATGGCATTTTCAGGGACCTGGCCACAGGATCCTGCCTCTCCTTTCTCCCATTCACTCCCAGCAAGAGGAGGGGATCATTTGCATCTCCCTCTCTGGGTTAGAGGCAGCGTTTGGCCTCGTTCCTGTGAGCACCAGGGCTCCTCTGACCCTCAGAGCGGCCTCACATCCCTGGGATTCCTCACCCTGAGAGCCTGTGTGACCTCCCAGCACCAGCACTGCTCCCATGGGCTCTGAACTCTGCTGGGCCAGCCTAGAGGACTTTGCTCTCCTGGGACAGCAAGTGACACAGCGGGGTTTGGGGCTGGCACCGGGGCAGGGAGAGCGTCTGGGACAGCGTCTGGAGCAAGGGTCATCCTCTGGCAGGGACCTGAGCCTCTGCCAAGCCTGTGCTCCTGTGCAGGAGAGCACGTGGGCAGGGATCTCCCCAGGGAGGACAGAGCACCTGGGCAGTGTGTGTGACATCTGATGGTGGCAGCAGGACGGTCCCTTGGCCCACTCGCGGCTCCCTCAGCCAAACCCCTTCACCTCTGAGCTGCTGTGGAGACCCTGAGCCCTGGCAGAAATCAGCAGGGTGGTCTGGCCCAGTGTCCCCCACCCTCAGGAGCACCCACAAGTTGTCACCTGGGCTGCACTGTGTGACAGCAGGTTCAGCTGCAAGGAATTCTGTGCTTAAATACAGGATGGGAGATCATGGAAGAACCCCACTCTCCTAAACTCCTGCACCCCCAGACCCTGCAGCACCAAGCACTCACCCATCTCTGCGTTTCCTGAGGCACCATAAGCTCCAAGCAGGCTCCTGCATGTCACCAGTGGTGTCACCATGTCTCACCCCACAGTCAGAGCCCGTCTGGAGCAGGAGGCAGAGCCCAGCCCCGCTCAGGGCCATCGAGTGCCGGGGATGAGCACAGCAGCATCAGCCCTGGCCACGTCCCCAAATCCTGGAGAGGCTCCAGGGGAGGTGGGGATGTGCCTGACTCAGCTCTGGGAGCAGGAGCAGGGTGTGGGATGACTCAGGAGGGCAGGTGGGAAGCGGTGAGTAGGCAAAGGCAGGCGGGAGCTGCCAGCCCGAGTCGGAAAGACCCGAAGATGAGACATTGTTTGTTGTGGGATTGTGCTGCCATCCTCCATCCCATGGGGTGGCAGCTCTCCCTTCCTCTGCCCTTGCTGCAGAGTGCTTTGGCAGGGAAAATGCCACAGGGGAGGACAAGTGACCTCGACTTGTGTGAGGTGACAGTGGCCAGAGATGGCTCCTGCCCACAGCCCTGACAGCCCCAACAGCCATTCCTGAGATCCTGCTGCCTTGGATGTTTTGAGACGTTCATTTTCCTGCCTGAGCTGGTCTGAAGAGGCTCTGCTGGCTGCATGTCACAGGATTCCCTCTCTCCTAGCAGGACCTGCAAACCCCAGCACTATCTCTGGAGCAGCCAGGTGGACCTGATGCATCCCAGCCTGTGCCCTCTGCTCCACAGCTCCCCTGGCAGGCTCTCCCTGTTGCCCTGCTGGAACATCCTCTGCTTGGGAAGCTCCTTCCTTCATGATTCTGGATGCACAGAACTCGAGGAGCTTCAAAGCACCAAGAAACCAGCAGGTACCAACCCCTCCTGGGACTGGGTCACTGGGAAGCACCAGCAGCACCTTCTCACCTCTGGCCTTCAGCACAGGCCAGCATCTCCCTCCTTCCCTGGGTGATGGATGGCTCATGCATGCCCACTCCCTGCTCCTCGCCTTGACGCCACAAGGGAGGACAAGTCTGAACCCAAATCCCTTCAGCATCTGCCCAGCCTTGTCCCTCCCCTCACCAGCTCATCCTCGTCCTCTACACACCAGGATGAGCCAGCCTGGAGCCCCACAGCCATCCCAGGCCAAACTTGGCCCTCGTGTGGGTCAGAGCTGGACCAGGAGCTTTGGTCACTTTGCCCCAGGGTCACGGACTGGACGGGTGGTGGACACAAGGACTGAGGCCAGGCCATGACCCCAGGGTCAATACTGGACAGCTGGTGGACCCCAGGCCTGAAACCAGGACACAATCCCAGGTTTCTGCATGGTGTCACACCGGGAATAATGATTGTGGAGTGCCTGGGACCATGGGCTCAACCCATTTTTCTCCCCAGCAGCCCTGCAGGGACCCTGGGATGAGCAGAGCTGCTGTGTGGATATTGGGAAGGGCTGTGCTGAGCCCAGCTAGCAGCATCCACAGCAAAACCTGATCCCCAAATATTATAGGAAGGATATGAAGGATATGAAGGATATCCTTCTCAGCCAGTGAATAGGACAAATTAAGATGTTGGCAATGATTAGGATGAGTATTGCAATTAGGAAGAATAGTAGGTAGGTGAAAAATTTTGTGATACAGGAGTCTGAAGCTATAGATCACGTTGCAAATTGTAGGACAGATCATGATTATATTGGTTACAAGGAAAAACCTGCACGCTCGGGCAGAACTCCCCGCAGGACAGGGATCGGAGCACGACGCCCTGGGGCCAACCCTGCCCGGTCCCGCGGCGCACCCCTCACCTTCTGAGCCTGGCAGATCATCTTCCTCACCACCTCCTTGATGTGCGCCTGGCCCTCGATGGGCGGCTGCATGTACACGGTGGCCCTGGTGACCCCGCGGTAGGCGATGGTCTCGGGCCAGCCCAGGTCCAGCTGCGGGATGGAGCGGTCCGACCTCTGCGGCCAATACTCCAGGGAAGGCGCCACGTCCTGCTCGTCCCCTTGGCTGTTCCTGTCGCCCTCGCTGTCCCCGCTGCCGTGCCGCGGGATGTACTCGGAGCCGGGGTCGTAGGTCTCCAGCGTGTCCAGGATCTTCTTCAGCTCCAGCTCGGACAAGAAGTCCCTGATGTTCTCCCTCTTCAGGACTTCATAGAAGGCGTCGGGGCCGCGGGAGGCCAGCGCCTCCAGGGCCAGGCGTTGCTCCTCGCTGTAGAAGAACTCGGGCTTGGACTCGCTGGACCTCCAGTTGACGTGGCTGTCGTCCAAGCACTGTACCTGGGAGAAAGCCATGGTGACCCCGCACACCGGTCCCCTCTGCCGAGGGAGCTCCGAGCCCCCAGCGAGCGCCGGACGTCGGCAATAAATAGGAATTAATTATTCTCCAGTCTTTAAATACACAGTTTGCTTCACCCTGCCCGGCTCGAGGCGCAGCTTGGGGAAGGCACCGCTCCCTTTTCCAACGGCTCTGCCACGCAGGAGCTCTTCCTGCCGGGGAGGAGGCTTTGGATTCTGCCTTGCCCCGGGCTCCAGGCAAGGAAAACGCGGAGCTGCCCCCGGCAGGGGCTGCGCGGCGGGACAGACAGCCCCAGGTGTACCTACAGCACCAGCAAGGTCCTTCACCCCCGCGGCCGCTCCCTCCTCATCCTCCGCTCTCCCAAGACAACGCTAACACCGGGTGAAATTAAAAAAAAACCAAAAAAACCCAAAAAAACTGGGAAAGAAACAAAGAGAAAAAAGCGGCTTAAAGCAGGGCAGCGAGGAGCAGGGAGCCTGGGCCGAGGTGCGGCGCCTGGCTGCGGTTGCAGCGGGGGAAGGCAGCGCTGTGCCCCAGCCTCCTGCGCATCCCGGCTCGGCTCTGCCGGCGCGCACTGCCGGGCCCGGACAGGTAACAGCAAGAAGTGAAAAGAGGAAAAGGAAAAGAGTGATTCATCCCTCCGCCCTGCCCCACCTGCAGTCACATGCTGCCTTCACACATTCCCTGCCCAGCCCCATTAACTCTTTCGGCTGATGCGCCCGCGGAGCCGAGCCCGGAGCCCCCGGGAGGGTCCTGGGCGGCTCCAGAGGGCTTTGGGTGTTTTGTATTTTCTTTTTTTTTAATTTTTCTTCTTTTTTTTTTTTTTTTTTTTTTTTTTTTTTTTAATCTCTCCCCTGAGATTCCCCTCTCTCCCGATGTGCCGGCTGGTAAGTCAATATTTTCCAGGAAAAGAGCTCTGTCCTGTGGTTAACCCTTCCTGTGCTGGAGTGCTGGAGCAGCAGCTCGGAGCCCGGCTGGAGAGCAGCGAGTGGGAGCTGCCAGAACACTTCAAAGCTGCACTGAGGCAGGTTTAGACTGGATGTTAGGAAGAATTTCTTTGTGGAGAGGGTGCTCCAATCCTGGAACAGGTTTCTTAGAGAGGTGGTCAAGGCCTCAAACCTGTCAGTGTTTAAGAGGCATTTGGACAATGCTATTAATTTTTTTGGTCAGCCCTCAATTGGTCAGGCAGTGGGACCAGATAATTGTTGCAGGGCTCTTCTAAATGAAACCATTTATTCTATTCTGTCCTGTCCTGTCCTGTCCTGTCCTGTCCTGTCCTGTCCCTTCTTCTACAGGGCTTGCAGCGTGGTCACAGTAACGTCACCAGATCTGGCTGTGACAGATTTCATTAATAACTGTGAGATGGACCAAAAACCCCACCCTGGATTCACCAGTTGGTGCTCACAAGCCCAGAAATGTGGAAGCTCTCTTGAGCTTTTCTCTTGGGAGCTGAGCTGAAGACGAATTTCAGGAATTGGGGTCAGATCCTTGCGCCAATGCAAAAAAGGGAAGTGCCATGGGCTGTGTGTCTGTCCCTGGCGTTGGTGTGGCTCATCTGCATTCAGAGCTGGATAAATGAGGGCCCTGCCTGAGTCAGGTTCCCGGGGCAAAGCCGCCTGTCTGGCCGGGTGCTGGGCCATCAAAGTGCTCCTCTCTGCAGGCACAGTGGCCCTGCTCACCCCACTGTGACAAATCCTGGCCTGGCCCGTGCAGGAGGTGGCAGCAGGGCTGGGGGACACAGGAATGTGACAACAGTTTGTTGGGATCATGGAATCACTGAGGTTGGGAAGGATCACAGGGTCCAAGCCAGCACTGCCAGCTCCAAGAGTACACCATGTCCCCAAGTGTCACATCAGCTTGGGGAAGATCCAGGTGTCTGCCTCCCAAAGAATGCCAGCTCAGGAGGTGTTCCAGCTGGAGCTGGTGACTTTATAGCTGACCCTGAAGGGATTTCCCAGGGGTGGGATGACACCCCCAGGCCATGGCCTGACCAGTGACCGGTGCAGCAGAGACTGGAACCAAACCCGGGTGTTTTAGGTGAAATCCCAGCGCTGCTGGCTGTGATGGGGACAGCAAATGGGACAGAGGTGAGCACTGAGCCAGCAGCCAGGACCTCTCTGGGTGTGATGGGAGATGGCCCAGATGGGTGCTGGGCTGTGGGTGTGTGGCGTGGCAGGAGCGTGTTGTGGTTTTGGCCGCCTCAGCCGCTCACTCGAGGTGTTTTTATTGTGCCAGAGATTTATAGACTCTTTCACGGGGTGTGTGCATTAATGATTTATTGCATGTGGGGTAAATGCTGCATCCCAGCCATCCTGCGCTGTGTGCTGGCTCTGCTGCTGGGGGTGGATTGGGGTGGCAGAGCCCCACACCTGCAGCATCACCACCTGGTCCTCACCTGGTCCCCCATCTTCCCATTCCTCACCCCACATGGTGAATTTAGCCCTGAACTGGGCGCATCCCCTGTTTGCAGGCCTGGGCTGCTGTGGCTGAGCAGGTTGGTCCTCGTCATTCCAGGCGTCCCCGGGTGGATCCAGCCGGACAGGCAGCACCCGCTGCAGCCACGGCCCCTTCCTGCAGATGGAAGCATTAATTACAGGGTCCTAACTAATTTTCCATTTTTAGCAGAGGGCCTAAAACTGAGGCAGAGGGGTATGACACTGAGCTCAGCTCCTGGCTCGGGGGCTCCTGCTTCCCACTCACTCCGAGGTGCCACCAAGTGTTCACCGGTAGAGCTGAGGCCTGGGGCAGGCATTTCAGCTGGAATACAACATCCAGACACTGCCTTGCCCTTTGGGACGTTTTCCACCCTCCAGCCACCAAGGATTTGCATGGAGCCGTGCACAACGTGGTGTTTTAGAGAGGGGAAACTGAGGCACGGAGCGCTGAGGGCAGCTTTGCTCAGGGCTGCTGCAGGAAGGAGTCACTGGAGCCTCAGCGCTGACTCTGACCTCGGGGCTGAGTCCAGGCTGGGCTTTTTGGCATCCTTGGGATGTGCTGAGCACGGCCTGTGGTCTGCCCACAACCGAGTCGTGCTCCCAGCACGCCCCACGCTGCTTTGTGGACAGTCCCAAGGTGTCACCAGCGGTGTTTGGGACAAACTGGGAGGCTGAGGGCTGTGCTGGTGGAGGTCACCAGGCAGGAGAAGCAGGCCAGTGCTGCCAGCCCTGTGCAGGGATCACCCGTGCTCGTCCCCGTGCTCCTGCCTGGGCGGGTGCAGCCCATCCATATTTATGCCTGACATTAATTTCCATTCATTTCAATATTTTATGAGCGTAACAATTAAAAAAAAAAAAAGAAAAAAAAAAAGAAAAGGGTTCAGCGCTCGTTGAGACATAGAAATAATTGGGTGTTGATGGTCCTGGAGCTCTGCCATGCAAATCCCAGGAGCTGCTGGTGCTGCCCATGCCCAGGAAATTGCCACAACGGTGCAGGAACCCCGTGGGTGGGGATGGGCAGTGCCTGCCCCGGGGCTCTGCTGCCTCTGGCCACAGCCCCGGGTCCTGGTGGGGCTCTGGGGATCCCCCCGGGGCAGCTGTCACTGGGTTTAACTGGGAACGGATCCAGCCAGCACCGGGCTGGGGTGGGCAGCAGAGGGTGAGGGGTGGGATGGGCCCTGCAGTGCTGGAGCTGAGGGTGGGAGTGGGGACAGGCAGAGGTGGATTTTCACCTCTGAGGTGGGATGTGCTCCTGGCTCCTCCACTGGTGTCCTGCCAAGGTGTGGGCATGGTGGCCATGGCAAAGGGAAAGGGGGCAGGAGGGGCTGAAGGGGTGCAGGGCTGGTTCCCACCCTGTCAGGGGTCTCAACAGGTCACTTTGCTCTGTCCCCCAGACTCCCTGGCCTGTGTGGACCCTGAGGAGTGCACCTGTGAGTATGGGGCTGCTCCAACATCACCAACCCCAGGCTGGTGGTGGAGCTGATGCCCAGGGGTAGGTGGGTGCCAGGGGGTGACCCCATCCCACTGGGATTGCTGCACCCTGGGGCTGCTGCCAGGGTTTGGATGTTGGGGGGGACCCCAGGGATGGTGTGGGAGGGTCTGTGTGCATGGAACCCCAGGGATGGTGTGGGAGGGTCTGTGTTTGGGGAGACCCCAGGGATGGTGTGGGAGGGTCTGTGTGCATGGAACCCCAGGGATGGTGTGGGAGGGTCTGTGTGCATGGAACCCCAGGGATGGTGTGGGAGGGTCTGTGTGCATGGAGCCCCAGGGATGGTGTGGGAGGGTCTGTGCATGGTGCAGCCCCTCCGAGGGTCTCTCCAGCACTGAGGGCAGGGGATGTGAGCCCCCGAGGTGCAGCTGAATGTTCCCAAACTCCATCCTCGCCCCGGGGGAGATCCCAGCGTGTGGCTGCAGAGGGGTGGGCACCATCCCGGGTTATCCCCTCCCATCCCTCCCGGTTCAGCCGCTCCCTCTGTCCCGCAGGTCTGATGATGGCGGTGATGATGGCAGCGCTCCTGTCATCCCCTGACCTCCCTCTTCACCAGCAGCAGCATCCTCCTCCTCCTCCTCTCCTCCACGGACACCTGCAGGGAGCTGCCCCTCGTGGGCAGGCACTGACCGGGGCTCTCGGGGAGACCCGTGGGGCCGGCCGAGCCTGCAGAGCACCTCCACCCAGCCTGGCTTATGCAAGGAACACAAAACCCTTGGGTTATTTTATGGGTGAAAGCGCTGGAAATGCAGACGGGGCGCTCGGTGCAGCCGGGTCGCGGTCACACACGGAGCTCGGGCGGTGACAGAGGGCAGGACAGTGACAGAGGGCAGTGACAGAGGGCAGTGACAGAGGGCAGTGACAGAGGGCAGTGACAGAGAGCAGGACAGTGACAGAGGGCAGGGCAGTGACAGAGGACAGTGACAGAGGGCAGTGACAGAGGGCAGTGACAGAGGGCAGTGACAGAGGGCAGGGCAGTGACAGAGGGCAGGGCAGTGACAGAGGGCAGCGCTGCCCGCACATCCCCGTTCACTGCCGGGGGTGCCCGCGGAGCCGCACTCAGCGCTGGGGAATGCCCGGCACGGTGCCACCGGCCGGGGAGACAATAACAGGGAGCGAATCTGGGTCAGGGCTTTGGCTGCGCTCTGCGGAGCCCTGGCCGGACCAGGAGCGGCTGCAGGAGCGGCTGGTTCTCGGCATCTCCATGTGCAGAGGGTGGGAAGGGGATGGGCGGCCACCCCGGGGAATGGGGGTCCCGCATTGTCCCGCGCTTCTCTCAGAGCCGGCTGAGCCCCTCCCTGGCAGTGGCTTGGCTGCCGGTGACAAGGGTGTGACCAGGCAGGAGAGCTTTCCCCGGGATGGATAATGAGTGTTTGCGAAGGGCTTTGCCCGCCCGGGGCGGGAGTCGCTGCTGCGGTGGATCCCGGGCAGGCTCGGGTGATGAGTGCGAGCAGGACGCTGCGGATTGCAGGGACAGAGCCAAGGAAATGTGCTTGGCAGGGAAAAAAAGCTCTGTGAGCTGCAAGTTTGAGGTTTTCCTCAGCGTGGGTTGGGTTCTGAGTAGTTGTCAGGGGGTCCCAACTGCCCCTGTGCCCATCCTGGGATCAGGGCTTGGGCTGGAAGGTTCCTTCAAGATCATCTCGGTCCAGCCCTGAGGAAAGGGCTTTGACTGTAGGGGGGGAAAGAGCTCCAAGCTCCCGGGCCTGGGGGTTTGAGCTGCAGGAGGTGGCTGTCCCCAGGGTCGTCTGTCCCCTGCACTCACCGTGTTTCTGTGCCAGGCTCCTGCTCAGCCAGCTCAGCCACCCAAGGGACCCCGGCTGTGGCCCTTGGGGACACCACAGGACCCCCGTTCTGGGCCCGTGTCTGTGGCATCAGTGCCATTGTCCTGATGTGTGTCAGTATTTTCTCTTATGCCTGTTTTGCCCTGGCAGCCCCTGGGGTGGGGAAGAGGTGCTTGGAGAGGGGAAAAATGAGGATTTGGGTGCTATTTTTCATTTGTTTGGGATGTGATGATTAAATCCACTGGTGCAGCGAGTTGGGTGTTCTGAGCACTGCATTCCCTGAGTACATCCCAGCATTTGTGGGGGCAGAAAATCCCTAGGAGGGGTTTGGGACAGGCATTGGGATGGGGAAATGGGGGCTGCAAGGAATTAAAACTGCAGTGAAGCAGCACCTGCATGAATGGAGGGATGGGACCACCTTGGCAGTGCTGGAAAAGGAGCAGCCACTCTCAGGGATAATACTCAAACACATTTTGTTGGCCCTAAATATAAAAATAATATAAAAAATAGAAATTTGCAGCTATGAACAGCACCCATAGGATGGAATCCCCCTGGACCAGCCTTCCCTGGTACCCTGAGTCCTGGAATTCCTCTGTGGAGTTGTGGATCCTGGCTGTGTCCTGGCTGCCTGCAGCCCTCCCTGGAGCTGGGGCTTTGCTTACAGGGTTTGGAGAGAAGGTTTGGGGTTTTGGGCTCACTCCCTCTGTTGCTGTCATCCCACTGGATTGTGCCTCTGGGAAAGGTTTTGTGGCCGTGGTTGAACATTCCACACTCCCTCCCTGGGGAGCAGCACTGCCAGCCCCATCCCTGGGCTGGGGGTCTCCAACCAGGGGGTCATGGACCAGGCACCATCCTGGGGACAAAGGGACACTCAGGCTGTGTGGGCAGCTCTGGTGAGGGGGGACAACGGGGCTGGGTCCTGCCTGGTCAGCGGCAGCGTGGTGAGGGTCACTTGTGGATGGTCACTTGTGGATGGTCACTTGAAGGTCATTTGTGGATGGTCACCTGAAGGTCACTTGTGGATGGTCACTGGATGGTCACTGGATGGCCACCTGAAGGTCACTTGTGGATGGTCACCTGAAGGTCACTTGTGGATGGTCACTGGATGGTCACTGGATGGTCACTGGATGGTCACCTGAAGGTCACTGGATGGTCACTGGATGGTCACCTGAAGGTCACTTGTGGATGGTCACTCAAAGGTCACTGGATGGTCACCTGAAGGTCACTTGTGGATGGTCACTGGATGGTCACCTGAAGGTCACTCATGGATGGTCACTGGATGGTCACTGGATGGTCACTGGATGGCCACCTGAAGGTCACTTGTGGATGGGGTGGACGTAGCTCCGTGGGAAGAGTCCCACACGGCTGTAGATCTTCCCCTGCCACCAGTTCGGGTCGGGGCAGCTCAGGACCTCAATGATGTCCCCCCGCAGGAAGGGCAGCTGGGAGCCCTCCTGGGCTGAGAAGTCAAACTGGGCTTGCACGAACCGGGGTCTCCTCACCTGCAGGGAAGCCGAGGGCCGGGGTTGGTGGGAGGAGAGGGGTCCCCATCTGCCAGCCCCTGGCACTGGGTGGCACTGCCTGGGTCCTGGTGGGGAGGCTGTGCCACCACGGGAGGAGGACGAGCCCTGGGATCCCTGCTTTGGAGAGACAGAAGCAAGGAAAGGGGAGAGTGGAGTGCTGGGGAACACCCCAGGGCACACAACTCCCTGTTCTTGCTGCTGGGACACCCAGGATGGGTGCCCAGGGCCCTTGGAGGCAGCTGGCACCCTCTCCTTCCCAGCTCCTTCCAGGTGCTGCAGCCTTCCCCATCCCAGCTCCCAAAGTCCAGTTTTGCAACCACTGCCCCAGGGCTTGGCTTTGCTGGGGTTTGGCTGTGCCCTGTCCTGGCTCTGCCACCTGCCCTGGGCATCACCCCTGGCACAAGGGACAGGGATGTGTGCCCTGCCCTGCCCTGCTCTGCCCCTCTGAGCTGCTCCAGGAGCTCTTCCTCCCTGCAGCGCTGCCTGTCCCAGGCTGCTGCTCCCTCTCCTGCTCCTCACCCCCCTGAGCCAAAGGGGGCCAGCCAGGGATGTCCCTGTCCTTCTGCAGGGACACTGAGCCTCGAGGGGGCTCACACAGGGGTTTGGGACCCACAGCCCCATCCATGGTGGTACCTCCTGGGTCTGGTCCTCGTCCCACAGGAAAATCTGCTGCTCTTTGGCGATCGTGGTCATCCTGTAGAAATCCACCAGCTCGTTGAGGGAGTTGAACTTTTCCTCCCAGAGGAAATATTTGCCATTCCTCTCCCTGAGCACCTTGAAGTGCTGGACCTGCTTCCCGTAGCTGCAGAAGGAGGATGGATGGATGGATGAATGGATGGATGGATGGATGGATGGATGGATGGATGGATGGATGTCACCCTGGGGACATCCTGGCAGCATCCCCTGAGGTGGGTAAAGCCTGGGGGTGCTGGCAAGGCTGGGGTGAGCCCATGGGTCTCACTGCAGCCCTCCTGCCATGGTGGGGGTGATGGTGGCACTGGGGTCACTCCTGGCCCTGCAATGAGGACCCACAGCTGAGCCCTGCTGCAAATCACCCCACAGGCAGCCAAAGCTCAGTAGCCAGCCCTGGCACAGCAGGGGCTCAGGGGTGGCAGCATGCCAGCCGTGTGGAGGGCAAGTGGCTTTGTCCAGGGCTGCATCTGGGGAAGGCGTGGTGAGAGCTGCAGGTCTGGGCACAAGGCAGGAGGCTGCAGAGGCTGGGATTGTGCTCCTGTGCTGCAGGAGGACGGGGCAGGCAGGACGTCCCCTGCTGTCACCTCGCAGGGTGTGCCTGGGGTGGCAGGTTGGGTGGCCCCGGGCAGGGGCGGGACCCGGCTGCGCTGCCGGTGACGCGGCAGAGAGAGCACGGCTCCCTCTCATTAGGGGCAGGAACCTCCCGAAACGTTCAATTAGGGATTAAAAGTGTGAGAAAGTGCCTGGCTGGCCTGGGGCCGCCCCTGCTCCCCAGGCTGGGGCAGGGCAGGGGTGAGATCCCCGGGGACAGGCACTGGCATTGCATCCCTGGGGATGCTGAGCCCTTCATCCCTGGGGATGCTGAGCCTTCCATCCCTGGGGATGCTGAGCCCTTCATCCCTGAGGATGCTGTGTTTAGGGGTGTCCCCGCGAGGGCAGCGGTGCAGGGAGCAGGAAGCAGCGGGGATGGGAGCGGGGCTGTGGAGGGGAGGAAGGAGGGGAAGGTCCCGTGCGAGGCCGTGCTGGATGTGCTGGGGCCCCGGCTCCGCAGCCCCTCCGAGGTGGCCAGCACAGGGCAGGGCGCTCAGCCCTTCCCCAGCACACGCGAGGGTGGCCCCAAAGCGGGGGCTGCAGGGACCCTTCCCCTCCTGCCGCTTGTCCCAAAGGCATTTATTTACCTGACGGAGAGGGAGAACTCGCCCGGGGCGCTCTCGCTGTCGCGGATCAGGAAGGCTCCCAGGTGATTGCGCTGGAGCAGCCGTTCCTCCGCCAGGTGCCGGGAGATCCTGCCCGCGTACCACCTGCGAGGGGCACCGGGCTGAGCCACCTGGGCACCCCCGGGACACCCCGGGACACCCCAGCCCCACACGCACCGAGACTCCGGGAGAGGGGTCTGCATCGGGCTCCTCAGGGGGCTGCGACCCTCCCCCGGCTGTTCCTCCCTTCCCTCCCCCTCCTGGTTCACCCCGGAATTTTGGGGGGCACCGCAGGGCGCTGTGGGCGCGCTGCCCCCTCCGCGTCACCGACAGCCGCCACCGCATCCTGTCACCCGCGCTGTCACCCGGCCCCGCTGCGCCGCCTGTCCCCTCCCTCCTCCGCGTCCCTTGGCCCCCGGTGCGAGCAGCCCTTCCAGGTGTGGGGCAGGAATCCCTCGGTGCCAGGATGAACCCCTCCTGCTGCACCGCCAAAGGAGTGCAGGAGCAGAGTCCCCGTGGGGATGTGTCCCACCCCTGCATTTCAGGGTATTTCGGGGTATTTCAGGGTATTTCGGGGTATTTCAGGGTATTTCAAGTCCCTGGGCTGGGGAGATTCTCTGCTGCTGTAAGAGCTGCCCGGTGAATGATCAGCCAGTGAGTTTAGCACAGAGCCAGCCCTCCAGGTGCTGCAGGAGGAGGCTGTGTCTTGCCCATGCCGGGTGTTATCCCGAGCTGCAGGAGCAGTGGGATGTGCCCCGGGCTGCCCCGAGCCCACGCGCTCGCTCTGCCATTTAAATGTGATTTACCAGGGGCTAAGGATATATCAAACACAGGTTCAGTCAGCGATGGATTAGGCTGGGCTTTAATAACGTGGTAATAGGATTGTGTTTAATGCAGTGATAATCCCATAACGCTTTGTTGTTCCCCAATTATCATTTATTCAGTGGCAGCTCGGTGTGAGGGTTGGATTTTTGGGGGTACGTGGGTGTGCTGCTGCCTCCTGTCCCCTCGGGCTGTGGTGGCACTGGCACTGACCCCCCCATCTCTGTGACTCAGTTTCCCCACCTGTGGGACTACCCTGGCTTGTTGTAAATTGGGAATTGGGATTGGTACTTACGGGTGTGGCTTGACCTTGATGTAGTTTTTGGGGACAAAGCCCTCGCGGCCGAACAGCTCAGCCTTGAACCAGTTCTGGTCATCCTCCATGTTGAGGATCTGAGGTGGGAGAGGAGCAGGGAGGTGTCAGCCTGGCTGCCAGGGGCTGGGTGGGACCCCCATTGCTGCCCCAGACCCCACAGCACCCACCAACCACCAGCCCTGGGGAGAAGGGGGCTCTGGCAGCGCTGGCTCGCTCTGGGGGCTTTGGGGTCACTGAGCTGGAAGGTGCCTGGTGTGTTCCCAAACCCCCGCCCAGGGAAGAGGGTGGGATCTGTCCCTGGAGGAGCCAGGATGGGAGCCAGGCGCTGGTGTCCCCCAGGAGGTGGCAGAAGGTGCTGACACCGCTTCCGTGTGACAACAACATTTTCCAGCCTCCCCCGCAGGGCCCGGGGCCGGCACAGCTGTGAAAACAGGATCCGAAACCCCGGCTCAGGGCACGGGGGAAACGCGGCGGGAGGCAGGGCTGGCACGGCGGGTCTGGGGCTCCGGATTCCAGCTGGGATGTGCCCCCGTCCCCCCCGGGGGGCTCCAGGGTGCCAGGGCTCCGGGAGGAGCCCGAGAGGGGTGAGCACATGGGCAGGGACGGGGGCCCTCACTGCCCTTGCATGGCTGCACCCCCAGGGATGTTCTGAGCCCCTCTGGAGCTTTTGGGGATTCCCAGGTGGCATCTAAGGGCCGACCCCATTGCCAGTGCCTGGGTGGGTGTTTGGGCACGCTGCTGGATCCCTGTGACCTCCAATGTCCCCCGGACAGGGAAAACGTGTCGCAGCCCCGAGGGGCTGTCACTGAGCACAGCTGGTGGCACTGATACCCACAGAGGCCACATGCCATGTCCCAGCTGGGGTGTCCTTCTCTGAAGTTGTGCCTGGTGGCACAGGCAAGCAGGGAATGCTACTCCACGCTCCCAAATCCTCGAGGCTGGCTCCTTATATCCCACAGAAAGCCCCAGAAGCTTTAAAGTCAGCGATAACGAAAGCACCGGTGTCACCATGGGCCCGGTGACATCCGTCCCACAAAACAACATCACCCAACCTCCCCCCCGGCTGGTCCCCTGTACCTTCAGGGTGTCCCCTTTCTGGAAGGGCAGCTCGTCCTCCTCCGTGGCCTGGAAGCTGTACAGGGCCACGGACTCCATGGCAGAGCGGCTCTGCGGGAGGGTCCCGGGGGGCTCCGGGCTCGGGGCTGCGCGCACGGTGCGGCGGCGCCGGGGGCAGGAAACCGCGCTGATGTCAGCGCTGCTGCCGGGGCACCGGGCGGGCCCCGCCGCCGCCACAGCTGCCCAGATGTGCGGCGGAGGCGGGGGAGCCGTGCCAGCCCGGCCGGCTGCCAGGGGAGCCGTGTGGCCGAGGATGGCAGGAGGATTTGGCGTTTGCCCCGCGGTGAGTGGCGGGCAGCGGGGCTGGGTGGAAAGGGGACGGTGATGGGCCGGGCACGGGGTGAGGATTTTGGGAAGGGTGTTTGGAGAGCAGGGGCAGTGCTGGTGGGGGAGTCACCGCTTGAGGGGCCTGGTGGGAATGGTTGTTCCAGAAGCAAGAGAATGCTGGAGGCGGGTGGATGCACGCACCTGGTTTCGCTGGAATTCAGAGCGAACCCTCTTGGCTCAGCTCTGAGCAGGGAGCTTCCAGCACAACTGATACGGGCTCTTTGGGCTGATACTGGACCCCTTGAGAGGGTTGATTTTTTCCTAGTTTTCCTCTGCAGGGCTCAGGGAATAAAAATCCCTTTTAGACTAAAACTGAGCACTAAAACTTCCTGCTGCTCCCGTGGGCGTCAGGCACGGAGCCTGCAGGGCTCGCCCGCCGGGGAGCATTCCCAGCGGGAATGATCGGAGCTGTTCAGCCTTCCTGTGTGTGGGCAGGGGCCGGGAGCGCATGGAAAACCCGCCAGACACTGCCTGGCTTTGCTGCGAGGAATCAAACCAGGGACAGCTGCAGCGCAGTCCCTGCCCGCGGGTTTGGGCGTTTTCCAGCTCTGCTGCCATCTGCCCGGGGTGGGATGAGCTTGTAGGGCCACTGTGGGGACACGGGCTCGGAGATTCGCCTCTCCCAAACCCCATTCCCAGTTCCCAACTGGATCCGAAAAGCAAACGCCCTCTAGCACCCCACTGAGGCCGCTCCCAGTGCCCGTGGAAGCAGAGAGGGATGTGCAGGATGTCACTGAGTGTCCCCACAGCCAGCGAGGCACAGTCCTCATGGTTATCCCGGGATGTGCTGCTCCCAGGGGACACGGGGGCGCTGGGGAGGCCAGGAGGGCCAGGGAGGCCGTGGGAAGAGGCTCCCAATGTGCTGGGCTGTCCCAGGGAGGAGGGGACTCAGCAAATCCCAAATCCCAGAGAGACCCAGGGGATGGGAATGCAGCAGGAAATCATCTTGGGGTGAGCTTCCTCTGCCCCTCAGCAGCCCTGGGGGGGATGGAGCTGGGCGTTCCCTGGGGAAAGCAGCCCAGCAGAGCTGTGCCTGATCCTGTCCCCTCTCCACAGCCCGAGTGGATGATGCAGAGGCCACTCCAGGCCATCCCACATGGAGAACAAGAGGGCAGGGAGGGTGTCTGGGAAGGGGTTGGTGTGTGCAGCCCAGGAGTGGCTTATGGGGGTGACAATCAGCTGTGCCGGGGGGACACCGGGAGCTGTGTTGGGGTTTGGATTCCGGGGGCAGCGGGGAGGCTTTGGGGGCACCTCGGGGTGTCCGGGCTGGAGCCACACCCGGTCCCGCAGTGCCTGGGAGGGGGCACAGGACAGTGGGGCCGCAGAGGGTGCCCAGGCCGGGCTCAGGACCGGGATCCTGCCGGCAGATGGCAGCAGTGCCCCAAGGGACACAGGGGACACAGGGGACACGGGGACAGCGCCACCTGCCCCTGCACTCCGGCTCCAGGGAGGCGGGCGGCCCCTCTGACATCCCTGTCACACCACAGCCCCTCCCGGCCCCCTCCCGCTGCCCCGGGCACGGCCCGGGTCCCTTCCCCTCGCTGGGGGCTCGCTGTCCGTGCTCACGGTGAGGGTGACAGCAGCACCTGCACCCCAGGAGAGGCTGGGCTGGGCTGGGGACCCTTTTCTGGGCCGGGAACCAAACGCTGCCGTGTTCAGCTGGTCCCCGGGTGCCCATCCCAAATCGCTGTGCCAGCCATGAGCCCATGCCCGGCAGGGTGAGATCCTGGGATGTGTCCCCTCATCCCTGTGCCCTGCACGTCCCCAGTGTCCAGAGGGACACAGGAGGTGCCACACGGTTGCTGTGGGTTGGGTGTCAAAGCTTGAACTTTGGGGTTCGGTACTGAGCTCAGCTCAGCCCGTGAGGAGATGCCAAGGGATCCCAAGGGTCACCCAAGGGATCCATGGAACACCCAAAGGATCCCAAGATCACCCAAGGGATCCCAAGGATCACCTGAGGATCCCAAGGGTGACCCAAGGGATCCCACCCTGCCCTGGCTTTGGCCACCAGCCCACGCTGCCTCTCCCTGTGAGCAGGGGAGCTCTGTGACCCTGAGGACAGGCAGAGGAAGGTGCCAGGGGCTCTGGCACAGGCAGAGGAAGGTGCCAGGGGCTCTGGCATTGCCCTTTCCCAGCTCTAGGGCTACTCCAGGCGTTGGGAGCTGCCTGGAGCTCCTGCTGACTCCCAGCTTGCCCAATCTGCCCAGCCCTGTTTCATCAACATCCTGTGTTTACCTGGCTGCAAAATCCCCACGCGGGAGGGAGGAAGAGGAGGGAGGGGAGCCTCTTCCCCTTCCTCTGCGGCCTGGGGAGCTTTGTTATGGACACCACTCCGGGCTCCCCAGCTCCCCTCTGGCTGCTGCCTCAGTGTCCCCTTGCTCTGCCCATGGAGGGGGTGTCCCAAGCCTGGCTTTGCCTCTCGGGGGGCTTTGGGCTGGGTCTGGATGGTTCAGGGCTGGGCAAGGGGAGCTGCTCACTGCAGATCCAGGGCAGGGAGAGGGATGGATGCTGCCCCAGGACACAGCACTGTGCTGGGGGTTGGGAGTGCAGCACAGCCAGGATTCAGGCATCCCAGTGCCTGGGATGGGGAACGTGGATAAATCCTGTAGGACAAAGGCTGCAGCTGCCTGTGTGCCCAGGGATGGAGTCAGCCCTTCCAGTGGGGTCCTGGGTGTCTCTCGAGCCCCACTGAGGCCCTGTGCAGAGAGGAAGTGACATCCTGGGCTGGAAAATGCCACATCAGGGCCCCCAGGCAGGATCTCAGTGTCAGCACTTTCCCTCTGGAGCAGAGGCCACATCGATGACTCCTGAGCACTGGAGCTTGTGTGTAACTCAACTTCTCAGCCCACACAGAGGAACTTGTGGCACCATTTACACCCTGGTGTAGCTGAGGACAGGGGATCAGACCCCTCTGGACCTCACATTACCCCACAGGATCTGTAGGAAAGCATCTACAGGAGGAGCACACCCAGGGACAATTTGCCACACTGGGTCCAGTGTGGCCATGAAAGGCTCCTTGAGGTGCTGGTGGTCTCCAGACATGGAGCTGCATCTCCTCAGGGTCAGCAGGGGTGGCTGGGGCTGGTATTGGGGTTTTTGAGCTGGTAAAGCAGAGCAGGACCCACTTGCCTGTGATGCAGGTGGGTTGGGAAGTGGGACTGTGTTCTCATGGGAGAAGCCCGAGGGCAGGGGGCTGGTGGTGAGACCTCACTTTCTGCTTTTGGCCCCAAAAATGGATCTGGAAAAGAAGTGGATGTCATGGAGCCTTGATTATGGAATACAACAACAAACATACAAGGAAGGATCACTGACTGATGGGGTCATCCCAAACAGCCTCTCCAAGAGGGATACAGCCCTGGATGGTGGCTGGGATTGGCCTCCTGGGAAAGGCCAAACCCTGTTTTGGTGAGGAGGGAGAGCCCAGACAGAGCAGCCAAGGGGAACAAACAGTGGGGGCTTCCTGGGGGTCCCCAGGACTCGGTTTTGGGCTGCTGGATGAGGTCACTGCCAGTGCCTGGGCTAGGCTGGGGGCTCAGGCCAGGATCCTTTACAGAGGCGTGAACCATTAAGGGCTTAATCATCAGCTGGAGGTTATTTGCTCCCTGGGCTCTATAAAAGGCCTTGGAGGCCACTTCTCAGGTTTGGACTGAGGAGAAGGGAGTGTTCTCTCTCGAGGCTGTACCTTGGAGCTCCTCCTGAGATCCTGCTGTTCCCTGGGATGCACCAAGAGCAAAAGGTGAGCTGTCCCTCTGAGTGGTGGCTGTGTCTTCCCTGGGGTGACCAGGAGAGGCTGGAGCTGTCCAGATCCACCTGGAGCAGGTGCTGGGTGTCCAGCTGGCAGCAGACCTCGTGTGCCCCATGGCTGTGGTGTCCTGGTCCCTGGCTCTGTCCCGGGGCCTTGCTGTGGTCACTGACACACCTGGGGTAACTCTGGCACCTGCTGGGTGCCCTCATGCAGGTCAGGCTCTGCTCTAAGCTGTGGGAGGAATGTTTCCTGCTGAATCCTGCTGTGGAAATGTCTGATGGTGACTCCCGGGATGAGCAATGTGTGTGGCCTCCAGTCTCCATCCTTGGTGCTGGCCTATGGAGAAGCCCAGGTTCCCATACTCGAATTTCCCAGGTGGGCTGGTGCTGCAGCATGGATGGGAGCTGGGAATGCTCTGCCAGCTCTTGTGAGTCCTCGGAATCCATTCCCAGGCAGCTGAAGCTGGAAACCTCCCTGTGCAGCATGGAGGTGCAGAGGGTCCCAGCACTGCTTTGATTCCCATGGGACACAATGAAAAGGGTCCCTTTCAAGTGGAAGCTCCAAAGCAGCGGGCAGCAGGCTGGGATTTGGGTGTGGAGGCTGTTTGCTGTCCGTGTTTGCCTTGGGGGGAGGCTCCTCACCCTGGGCCTGGGCTGGAGGAGGAACCACCCATGGGCAGGGGATCTCCGGCTCCCGCTGGGCTTGTTCGAGGGGAGCCGGGAGTTTGGTCACATCCAGGCTCAGCCTGAGCGGGTTCCAAGAATCTCCCCCTCAACGGGAGCATCTGTTATTTTTCTAGGAATTAAAACGAAAATCCCACCGCAGAAAGCTGTGCCGCGTGCGTAGGTGAGGGGACCGTGCTGTCACCCTGCTGTCACCGCCGTGACTCACCCGGGGGGCTGCGGCTCCCGGGAAAAACAACAAAAAACAAAAGCAGGGAGAAATTGTGAATGATCGCTGGCTGCCGGTG